TGTCACACTGCCACGCAGTTGAGCCTCAAAATTGATGGGCCAAGTTGCAGGATGACTAACTCACAGTCGCCAACAGAGATGACCTGCGAGTACTGAAGTGAAGAAGGTGCAATCCAACAACAAATCTCGCTCGTTAGGGCAGGTAACACGTGACATTTCGAAGACAAGCGCCAGGACAAGACTACAAGCAGAAAGCTTATGCTGTTGACAGTACACCGATGATGTACAGAGATTCTGGGCTGTGCAGCAGCTGCTCCATCGGCATGCAGGCAGATGGAGCTGCTTAATACCACTTTCCATGAGTCTGGACTCGGTCCCTAAATTAGGCCCTGATTATGTGCAGGTGGAACATAAGGAATGTCGCTGCATTTTTATCCCTATGGGGTTCTCGGCAGGCCCTTTGGTATTCTGGAACACACTCATGCTTTTTCATTGCTCTTTCACACGAAGTTCTGATCTGGGGTTCTCAAGTTAGCTCCGTGGCTTAAGTTAGCTTAAATTTCGTCCCAGTCTGCTTCCAGCACATCTCTCGTAATGCTTGTTGGGATTTGGTGGATAGTGAGAGATGTAGCTGCGAGGGACGCACGAGCACAGACAGACAGACAAACAAACAGACAGGCAGGAACCACCCACCCACACACCCCCACACCCCCACACCCACACACGCACACACGCACACAAGCACACCCCGACACGCCCACACACCCAAACACCCACACAACCACACACCCACACACCAACACACGCACACACGCACACACCCACACACCCAAACCCACACACGCACCCACACACCCGCACACGCACCCAGACAGACACACACACACACACACACAGACACACAGACAGACACACACACACACACACAGAGACACACAGACAGACGCAAAGACAGACGCACAGACAGACGCACAGACAGACGCACAGACAGACACAGACAGACACGGACAGACACGGACAGACACAGACGCACACGGACAGACACAGACAGACACAGACACACACACGGACGCACAGACAGACACACACACACACACACACACACACACACACACACACACACACACACACACACACACACACACACACACACACACACAGACACAGACACACACACGGACACACAGACAGACACACAGACAGGCACACAGACAGACACACAGACAAACACACAGACAGACACACAGACAGACACACAGACAGACACACAGACAGACACACAGACAGACACACAGACAGACGCACAGACAGACACACGGACAGATGCACAAACAGACGCACAGCCAGACGCACAGACAGACGCACAGACAGACACAGACACACACGGACAGACACGGACAGACACGGACAGACACAGACACACAAACAGACACACACACACACACACACAGACACACAGACAGAGACACACAGACAGAGACACACAGACAGAGACACACAGACAGAGACACACAGACAGAGACACACAGACAGAGACACACACACACAAACACACACACACACACAAACACACACACACACACACACACACAAACACACACACACACACACACACAAACACACACACACACACACACAGACACAGACACAGACACAGACACAGACACAGACACAGACACAGACACAGACACAGACACAGACACAGACACACGCAGACACACGCAGACACACGCAGACACGCGCAGACACACGCAGACACACGCAGACACACCGAGACACACACAGACAGACACAGACAGACACAGACAGACACAGACAGACACAGACACACAGAGACACACACAGAGACACACACACACACACACAGACACACACACAGACACACACACAGACACACCCATACACCCACACCCGCACACACCCCCACGCACACCCCCACGCACACGCACACCCCCACGCACACGCACACCCCCACGCACACGCAGACACGCGCACACGCACACACGCACACACGCACACGCACACACCCACCCACCCACCCACCCACCCACCCACACACCCACCCACACACCCACCCTCACACCCACACACACACACCTACCCACACACACACCTACCCACACACCCACCCACACACCCACCCACACACCCACCCACACACCCCCACACCCCCACGCCCCCACACCCCCACACCCCCACACCCCCACGCCACACACGCCCACACACGCCCACACACGCCCACATACGCCCACCCGCAGACCCCACGCCCACGCCCATGCACGCCCACGCCCATGCACGCCCACGCCCGCCCGCCCGCCCGCCCAGCCACCCACCCACACCCCCACACACCCCCATACACCCCCACACCCGCACCCACGCCAAGCCCACACCCACGCCCACGCCCAGACCCAGACCCACACCAACCCCACCCACCCTCACACAGACAAGCGAACAGAGACAGGCAACCGACAGCCAGAAACGCGGGGTCGAGTCGGAGCTTTTGCGTGGCCAGCTGGCCTTGTGTTTTTTTTTCTGGTCAAGCGGCTGCTATCATGGGATGCAGCTTTCCATGGATCTTCGTGGAGTTGTCCAGCAACGCCTCAGCAGATGTCAGCAACCGGTGGCACAGACCCAATCGAGGGAAAGCAAACGACTCGAGTCCGTGCAAATGCCATATAGTGCTGCATTCCGACTCGCGTCAATCTTGCATCCACGCGGCCAGGACGAGCGTAGTAGACCCCAAACACCTCGGCCGATGAAGCACACGCTATGCATTCCTGCCTCAGCGCGACGCTACAAAATGCCTCTGACCACGGGCAACGAGTCAATATCATCAGTCGAAACCTGAGCAACCTGACAAAAAAGCTTTCGTCCTCTCCACTCCGAGGCGTATGCTCCAGGCACTTTTCCCTCATGCATGCATTTGTTGTTTACATCTTGATGGAAGTACCGGAACCAAGCCCCACTAACACTTCAAGGCAGCAAACAAGAAACGGAAGTGGCACAGCCAGCCCGGACTCAGCCAGGCAAAATTCGAGGGCGACTGCAATCCCCTTGTCTGCCTGCTGTCGTGCTTAGGCATCCGCTCTGTATTGCGGAAGGCCTCCTTGACCAAAGGGATGGGGCCATGATAGTGCTCCTGGGTCACAGACACAAACGCCGGGATAAAGCTCTTCGAACTGCCACGGCAGAGATCATTGCAGTCTTGGACGAGTGACGCGAGCTCCGCGTCCCGGCAGTAGCTGCTGGAAGGCCCTGTCCTCGCACTGTCGGAGCAACTCTGTCGGCCTTAGACGGCGTTGTACTGTGCAGTCCAGAACGCGTAATGCGAGAGCACTCCACGTGTCCAACATGTTCCAAGCAGCAGCTCCGAGGAATCGATCCCGTACTCTTCGATCTGAGAAACTCCATCAGCAACACCAACCTGAGCCAATGCTGGAAAGGTCATCTTCGTAATTGTGGCTGCTTTGAAGGTCCGCCCGCCGCCGACGACGATTTCGCTGCTGTTCCATATGTTTCTACTCCTGTGGCTGCTGCTGCTGCTGTAATTGGTACTGCTGCAGCCGTTACTGGCAAGATTATGCACTAATGCTACAGCTCTTGGTGTACACGTCGTCTACTACTGGATTTGAGTCGCAGCCGGACGGGATCCGGGAGGCGAGGGTTTGCGGGCGCCTCGATGCGCAAAAAGCAATATTGCGCATCGATTTGCGCATCGCTCAGCGCTTTCCGTGACCCCTCGAAGTACCATGAAATACCCAGGCAGTTCCAACATGTCCCAACTACAGGCAATTAATTGTGAGTCTTGGACCAGTCAAACCAAAACCCAATACAGACCCAAGCAGTGCTTCGTACACAGACACTACATGGCTCAAGCATCAACATAAGGAGCTTCAATACCAAGTTCTGTCACCTGCACCGACAGGACTTGTTCAGGTCGTTTCCTGTGCATTTGCCGTATCTCTCTTAGCCTATTCACAAGTATCAGGTGCAAATCGCCACTCAGCTTGCTCAGTCGGCGACTGCTGTGTTGGCAATCAGGCTTGAAAGCCGACAAGTCGACACTCTCAATGCGTGCAAGCCGCAACCATCGGGGACACTAACGTGGCATCTGCATCTCGGTGTCCAGACTTCGCTTTGACCGGGTGCGTCTTCTGGAAGGCACAAGAATTGAAACCTCGCAGTCCAGCCCGAATCACGTAACAGAAAACGTCACGCGGACAGCAACTTGCAGCCCTTCCGTCATCAAGCTGTGCCACCAAGCCTAGACTACCCTAGGGCTTGCCGACCTCGCTCATTCGGTCTGTGCATGCAGGAGGCATAAAGGCTTGTTCTTGTGGTAAGCTTCTGCCAGTTGCTGCTCTCGTCGCTGGAAGGCATCTAAATCTCGTTTCTGCTTCTCCTCAAACATAGCAGCTCAGCCAGTTAGCCAGTTGCAGAGAAAATGATGCATGACATGCCCCAACATGAGCCCGTTCACTTGGCACCAACTGTTTTTTGCTTCGTACCACTGCATGGGCAAGTCTGCAATACTCGGGAAGGCAGGTCTCGGCACCAACGAAGAAAGTCGGAGAGCGCTGAACGCCATCACCACGAACAGCCATGCACCTCCTTGTCTGGCAACGGCTCGACTTAACGATGGCAATTCCATGCAAGCTCACACTGCATGTCCCGTCGAACCTGTGCCACCTTGCGAGCAGCCGCAGTGTTTCGATGGCAAGCTGCGATCGATACAAATTGATGAGGAGTCTTTGCTGCTGGGGAATCTCTGTTAGGCGTGTGTGATGTGTTGAAGTTCAAGTCTGCTAGTGGTTGACCAAATACCTTCACAGGTGCTGTGCGTGCCGCTGCTGGCCATGCAATTCTTGGGAGACTTGTCTTGAGGCATGACACCGAAACTTCGCAGTGTAGGCCCTTGCACGGCCAATGCTTCGATCTATTGACACTTGTGAGAAGCACGGTTGCGGTGAAGCGGTTCCCCATACTCTGAGATGCAGCTGTTCGTGCAGGACTGATCATGCAAGCAGCACGTGCTTTCTCGGCTATGCGCTGCACAAGGCCTGCTGCGCCCATGCCGAGCTGCGGCTGAATCTGTGGCTGGGGGACCTTCAAACCAGCAAGCTTCATCTGCCTGGTTATACCTGCAGCCCTGCTCAGACATCCTCTTCTAAAGGAGGCAGGCTTGCAAGCAAGAGGGCAGAGCGCGACGATTAAATCCCCCCAAGCCCCACCCCTTGAGTCAACACAAGGAGCGTGAAGAATTGCCGCTATTGCTGGTACAGTTGCCTGCGGTTGCTGCGGGTTCGCCGGCATCTGCTGGCTGGGCCGGTTTGCCCTTGGCAAAGTACGCTCACTGCGAGCACCATGAAGTTTGAGATTTTTCAAGGCAGAACCAGACAGGCCGACTGAGCAACTGCAGTCATTGCTTCTGATCTGTTGAAGTATTAAGCTGCAAGCTGCGCTGGTGCCCCCGGAGCACCTTCACAAGTCGTGAAGTGCTCGGGATATCGGCAGACAGTTGCAACACACTCTGCCGGTAAAGATTAGAGTATGCGCCCAGTGAAAACCTGATACCCGTGTTATGCTCGTCAACGACGTCCTGAAAGACGCAGACACCCTTCATTGTGTTGCCACTGCAAGGTATTTTCGATACGAAGTCTTGTCAGGTAAGCGCCTGCCATGCAGATGCAGGAGACCTTAGATACACGTTGAAAGCCTCCCAGGGAACCTCCAGCAGCGGGAACCGGGCGGTCGCCTGCAGGCACGCGCCGGATTTCCAAAGCTAGGCCCCGAAGGCCCAGCCGGCCTCCGATTCCTCCCATTTGTGGCTTGCCACGGCCTTTGCCTCCATCACCGCGTCCTGTTCAGATCAGGTCGGATGCAAACGAAGCCATCCAAACCTGACCTTCTTGTCACAGGCCTACGATGTCGCCACGACTACTGTGCCAAGGCTGTGCACTTCTACTTCTACTCGTCGTCTCCCGCTCACGAGACCGACGACGGCAAGTGCGCAGGATATGCGGGATCTGCTTTCTAGGGTTCATCCCGAGCGGAAGCTTAGATTGGAAACTGTCTCCTTCCAGGAAGAGTTCACGAAACCAAGACACACGCAGCATTGAAAAAAGGTCCTCCAAAGCCGGGGCCGCGGCCGGCGCCCTGCACAATCGATTCTCTTGGGAGCCTACAGCCCTTGCAAGGCCCATGCAGTCAGTAATACAGTGCCTCAGCTCCGTGTGTGCGAGCGGACAAGGCAGCAGTTCGTTTCGACTCGCTCTGAGGCACGGCTAAAATTCTAGATAAGCATGAGCTGTCTTTAGCTCTGTGCTCAATATCACCGATTCTTGGCAGCCCGCCTCTCACTGTAGTCCTTCACCCAGGACACCGCATTGCTGAGACTACTTGACGATAAAGCCCTATAGAGAACTCCGGGGATCTTGTACCTGAGACGCATGTCGATTTGGTAATACACTCGCGACCATCCCTCCTTTGTGGGGTGTGGCTCCACATACCACATCCCCTTGATGTCGTCCACATCGGAGCGTCGGTCATAATCCAAGGACCATATCATGGAATGCCCTTTCCGATCGGCTGTGTGGTCGAAGTAGCAGTGGAAAGAGAAGCCTGGAATGATCGTGGAGGACATCTCGACTTTGATCTGCTCTTTGCCCCCGCGGAGCTTCTTCCGACCATACACGATGCTGCTGGAGCACATGGCGACCTTCTTCTTATAAGTGGAGAAGTCCAAGAGCTCTTCCATCACATCGTCTGGAGTGGCGGCCATATCTCGAATGGCCAGCCCTTTGCCTCGAGTGGGGTCCTCCTCTTGGCGAAGGACCAGCTTTCCCTGTTCCAGCGTCTTCTCCTCGCTTGAAGTTAAAGGCTTCAGGTTTTCGACCGGTCCGAGCTTGAAAGCCGGCAAGGTGCCACGGTGACCCTGTGCGGGGCCACCCTTACCTTCCTCATCAACCACTTCAGGCTCAGATGTTTTCAGCACCAGCGGCAGCAAAAGTGCTGCCGCCCCAAGCACCAGAACAAAGGCCAAGCACTTGACGCAGAGGCCGGAACGGCACCGCGTCATTGGCGACAGGTGCACACGAGGAGTTGAAACAAATCTCCTTCAACTCGAGCCATGTTGGCAAACGAAGAACGTTCTGAAGCACGAACATCACGAAAGTCTCAGGGAAAACAGCGGAATCGCACTGCATGCTCAGCCTTGGTGTTGGCACCCATTGACCTGATGGGCTGGGGTGTGCAACTCAAAGTTCAAGCGTCCGCGAAAGCTCTACCTTTTTTCTGGCGCTTCCGATCCGGGGATTTCTTCGTTTTCTTTAAGTAATACGGAAGATCACCAATGCTCTTGCATGTCGCGGCCGTGATGTCTGGCCTCAGGCCTGGTTGGCTTCGTTATCTTACCATGATGCGCAAGTCCACGATGCCACCAAGGCAGCAGTAGGGAAACACTTCCAATGCTGCAACCGTAAGTTCCGAGCGGTCGCATACCTGGCAAATCAAGCACAACACGGACATTTCCAGGTCTAGCTCTACATAAGACCATTTGATGAACAGGCCATGATCGGCGAAGTGTGACATACAACTTGAGCCACAGGCTGCACCTGCACCGCTCTTTCCATCATCACCTCGCGTGGCAAGATGTCAAACACCGGCATAAAACCCGAGCCCAGCAGTATCATGCAGAAAGGCTCGTTTTCCAGAGCGCCCTGGCCTTTTCCCTTGCGGCCGCCTTTAGGTCGGTCACCTTTTGGCCCTCCCGGTCCTTCGAAATGCACCGGATACCAGGCTGCCGCAGTCTGCGCTCCCTTCTCCGACCCACGTCAAAGCTGAACCCAAGCAGATCTTTTTTCAGCTTCACAATTCCTGCCCTTGTAAGCTTCCAAGTGCTGGTTCTGATTCTACACTCTACACTCAAATCCCCCCTACGCCTTATTCCTCTAATGCATAAGTGTGTAGTGAGAGGCCAAATCTCCTCGTCCTGCACCACCGGGGCCGCCGGGTGGACCTCCGGGCCCTGGCAAGCTAAGGGAGTGGCAGTCTACTGCTCACTGCTGACAAGAGTCCTCAACTCGTGAGCTGAAGCTCTACTTGCATGGACATAAACCCATCTGGCCCATGGACAGCCGTTTCTCAAACATGCAAAGAGCCTCGACCACCTGGCTTGCCACCTTTGCCTTTGGAGTCGCCTTCAGCTGAGATCTCGGGAGATTTTTTTTTTACGATTTCCAAAATTCTAGTTCAGGGTTTTGTGACGTAAACTGCTTTTGAGATGAGCAAGTGGCTCGCCATGAATCACCTCAATGATGCTGCCGGCAGGCCTTTGTTGCCACCTCCCTGGGAGGATCCCTTGCCCTGCGGTGCCTCCCGGGCTGACTTGATAACACGGTATCACGGAAATGTGGCAGTCGCCGACGTGAGTCACAGCCTCACTTTGCTTCCCGTCCTTCCTCTCCTCGCCGGGCTTTCCACCTTCACCTTTGGGCCTGAGAGCGACAGGACGGGAATGTGCAACTTCGGCAGCCGAAGCGACAAGGCGAAAAGACTAGGCATCTTGCCCCTTCTCGCCCTTTTTCCCTTTGCCTCGGTTGATTCTGGATTCCGGCAATCGAGGAGACGATGGCCCGTCCACATGCATTGCATGTGCAGGATCAGATGGCAGCTGGTCTGTGATTCGTTTAGCCAAAAACTGCATTCCCTCGAATCATCTATTCCAAGATGTTAAGCATCCAGCCTAGAGCGTGACAGCTCTTCAGAGGTAGTTGACTTGCGACTCTCTCCGAGACAGCAACGCATAAAACCGAAGTCGCCCTAAGGCTGGTGCCCTTTCCCTTGCCTTTGAAGAACATGAAATTTGGTGGGCCTGACAGCATGTCGGAAGCGGCTTCCAACAGCTTCCTGTTTCGCAGCTGTTTCCAAATTCGGGGCCAGCCCCTAGTGAAGCCACAGAAGAATTTCGCCGTTCACACTCGGCCAGAAGAATTTTGGTATGTTCTATGCTTAGGTAGCGCGCCAAAAACCATAATGGAAGGTCCAGGTATTCGCTGCGACCACCTGAACACTGTGGCCCAGCTGAGAGGCCTTTCCACACGTAGCACTTCTCTGCTCCCAAGCCCTGCTCGTCCTGAGAGAGAAGTGACATGCTGCTGGCTGCTCTTTTGCTTCACTTGCAAGGGGCGATGTCAGCAAGCAAACAGGCTAAATGCGAGTCTTTCCAGCAGTTTCAATACCTACGACAGGCTTCCTTACCCTGCGAAAGTGACATCCACACGCACTCGGCCCTTCAGCGCCGAGGACATTCAGCGGGCTTTCGCGAGTTTGGGCAGTCCTCGAAGATCTGGAACTGCACGAAGGTACCGGGCATCAAATCTTTTGCATTGGCCTTGGTTTTGTGTCATGAGTCTGACTGCATAAGGCCACCGATCACAATCGCAGTTGCAGCTGCTAGATCACAAATTATGCCGGTAGATCTAGTGGTGACGTTGCACTTTTAAAGGCGCGATCAGTCAGACTGCACTGAAAGAACAATGCACTTGTCCGAGTTTTCCGGCAAGGTCGGTCCGGCTGATGAAGATTCGCCCCTGCCTCATAGAAGCCTGCGAAGCTAGATTGTGCAACGAGTCTCATGCCAGAAGTGAGTATGAAAATCTCGACTCTGAATACTTGCAAGTGTCGACCCACCAATCCGCTACACCCCCTTTACTCCTCCCGCCATGTAGACTTCTTAACGGTGGCCTTGGGATGACGAATAGGTTCCATAGGCATGATCCAGCCGTAGTTGCCCTGCGCAGCATTGTGGCCATCGGTGATATGCGCATCTGAAGTTCTGGGCGCACCGAGCGTTGCTCCCAAAGACATGCATCAACCCCTTCAGCTTACCAAGCGCCGTGCTCGCCAGTCCAAGACCTGCAACAGGACCGGAGCAGTGGCACGAACACAGTGATCGCATGACATGGCATCCACCTGTCCGAGATGTTGGTGTGTGGAAATGCGTTCGCGGGGCAGGGTTGGACCTGAAGCTGGGCCACTTCTCGAAGCGCTTTAGTGCTATGAGCCACAAAGCGATCAACTTAGGGTCGAGGCCGCCAGGTTGTTTTTCTTTCTTATCCTGCACGGAGGCGGAAGGGAGCGACGGAGCGGAGCTGCTGTCCAACACGGGCCTGGTCCTCTCCTCCCTCGAGGGCCCTCAGCGACTTCTTGCCCAGGGCTGCGAGAGACATTTAAAGAGATGCCGGCATCCCCTCCGATAAAGAGGTGGAATCCGCAAGCACTAAGCAGCAGACTCTGGAGTCGCCGCAGGGACCTCTTCACCTTGTGCTCACAGGTTCCAAGCACCGAAGTGGAGATGCACGGAGGCTACAGAAGCAGTGGCAAGGTGCAGAAGGACAGGTCGTTGCACACTCAAAATGAACGGACCAACTGCGCATGAGCCTTCGAACACCATCTCGAGATATCGAACAAAACCTAGTCTTCCAGTCTTACAGGCATACGCTTTATACATCTTACATCGACACAGCACTTCCGCCCAAGACGGTCACCGCGGTTTTCGCCCTGAGCTTCTGAGCCCCAGACTGCTTGCCATGGTCTCAAAAGCTGCTTGTCTCAACTCTCAGCGCAACAGTCGCAGGGCCGGGCACCCACTGTGCAAATATGCAATTGGCGGGAATCTAAATTGTTACAACGTGCAAGCTTGCGGCAGTATTGGCTGTCAACGTAGATGGGAAGTACCTCGCGTTCGACTCGTGAGAGCATGTCATGCGGGGGAGGATGCCGTCTCAGTGCGAGAAAGCTCCTTGCTTGGGCCAAGAGGCAAACACATGCAGCCTGTTCTATCTTTGCAGTATTTTGCAGTGTGTGTGTGTGTGTGTGTGTGTGTCCTTGCCGGTCGTCGGCGGATAGAGTCTCCCATTGAGCTGAATGCAACGCGTACTCTTCCTCACAAGTCCGTGAACCCGGTGATTGCGGGACTGTGACTGTGCTTTGTCCCCCAAGCTCAGCAGAAGTCACTGCTGCACTGCAACCTTTACATCACCATCAGCATCCTTGAACCAGATTTCTTTTGTATGGCAATCCTCTCTGTCGGACACCTTCTGCAATAGCTGAAAAATAATCGATGGAAGCCAAGTGATCTTTGGAAATCGATCGGCCCTCCGCACACAAACGGCAAGGACAGCAAGGCTCGTTGTGAAAATTTGGCATCCTGGACTGAATATGACCGAATGCGGAGGAAAGGATTTCTTGAAATACGGCAAACTGCAAGGCGGCCAAGCTCGAGGCTTCCACCTCTGACAAGTAGCCGGAAGGTATCGCATGGGTTCGTCGAGCACATTCGGCTGAAAGGCTCGCTTTCACCACATCGGAGAAGCTGCAGCAACTGAGTAGTGGTGTGCTTCATGTCCCGTAGCACTTACTCTGTTTCCTTCACGAGTTCTTGATGTTGCGTCGATGATGGAAGGGTTGCAGTGCAGTACTTGTGTTCCTTCTCCTCACATGGGCTGTTGCTGAAACCTCTCGATGACCAAGAAACAAGTCAACCCGTTGGCATGTGGCAGGGCTGACCACGGCTGACCTGGTGTTGAAACGGCTTCGCAGGGATCCGGCACCCTTGGCTTCGGCAGTGCTGCCCTGCACGAGGGAGGCCCATGGACACTGGAAAAGGCCAAGGACAATAAAACAAACCATGTACTGCCGAGACACGTAAGCGTGACATTTGCAATATATATATATATATATATACATACATACATACGTATATATATATATATATGTTTGCTTCGTTTCATGGCATCCTTTGTCCAGGGTGATCGCCTCAAGCCTTGCGGAAGACTACACCAGCCCCGTCTGTGCCAGCATGTACAGGGGCATGCAGCAAGTATGTACGACCATTGGGCCATTCCCACCTCTAAAACTGATCAGTGCTGGCACCTTGCATTCGTTAGGTCAATCAGAGCAAGGCAATTGGAATGGCTTCCGGTTTCAGACTCGCGGAACTCATCTAAGAGTCTTAAGAACGTGCTAAATCGCCCGACGTCCCAGCTCCCAACTCTTGGTCACTTTGCATGGGTCGCTGAGGTCGTCGTTGAGGCACCCCATCCACTTCGCATCACAGTAAGGGGTTCTACACGCCCGGTGCTAAACGAGAAGTGTGTTCCTGCCAAACTAACTGACTGAACTATGGAGCACCGAAGAAGCAAGTTCACGGGAGCGGGATGTCAGAGGCGAACATTTGTCCAGACAAGCACTCTACAAGTTTTTCGCCGGCAAGAAACCGCGACGGATTCGTTTCCACGTGTCCCAACTAGCGCTGTCACAACAGGACTGTGCACGGTTTCTCTAAACCACACAACCTCTGAGATCAGGTGACGGCTGAATCGATTCAAGCCGAATCCCGGTTGTTATCGTCGTTCCGTATCAGGCTTGACAGCTACTTGCGTGGTAAGATGGACATGATGCAAGCACTTTCCAAGCTCGTTATTGACGGCATAAGCCTTCAGGCCAGAACACAAGGAACACTTCCTACATCGAGATCTGCCACTCTCCAAGCTCCTGTGGAGTTTGAACAGGAGACTTGCTATCGGCTTGAACCGCTTTGCATCCTGCACTTAACCAAACCGGTGAAGCTTCGCTAGCTCCACGGTGGTGCAACGCTGTGCCACGGGCTGCTCTGGTGCCGATGCCGCCGTCTGGAGACGGATTGCCTCGATAGCACCTGCAACGAGCCTAAATGTACGCAAATACATCTCATTTCAAGCCAGCTTGGCATAGCCGCGTGACATTAAATGTCATGACGAGCAGATCAGCCAGCAACTAGTCACTAGCCTGTTGGACCTCTCCCCAAGACTCCGGGCCTTAAACAACTTAGACAGGCACATGGCTTGGACATAAGATGGTCGCTATCAGCATTTGTGTCCAAAGAAGCTGGACATCTGATACTGCTGCTTCTCTGCTCAAGCGTTTCCAGTCTCGGCTCCAAGCGATCTTACTCGGTAAGCGTGGTCCAAAGCACAACACTTGCTAAAACAGCTTGACCGGAACAACAACACTGTAGTCAGACCCACATACTCAGGGATGGAAGCGCCCTGGAACCTGATGCTCTGCATCAGGTGTTGTGAGGCGGCTCCAAAACGGCATCGGGGCAGATCGTCTATCGCCTGGTAGGGGCTCCATCTCATGAATCTAATGTACTCTTGCGTGGCTCAAAACTATTGGCCATTGGCCATGCGACCTGCCTGGAACCGCCTACATCTGTGAAACACTGTGAGAACACCGGGGGTAAGTCTTCATCACGTGACGCGGCTGCACCCCAGCCGCAAGCTGTCTGACGTGCGGTGAGACTATATGCTCGCAGATGCCACCCATCGCCATCCCCTACAGTGCATTCACACAGTGGTTCACCTTCCCAAAGCAAGAGCTGAAGCGTTAAAGATGGTCAGGAACAGCGGCTGCACTTTTCAGCTTCGAGAACGGCAGTTCGCGAAGAATGGAGGGAGTCAGTCGAGTGCGAATTGGCCTACTTGTCCCGCCCACATGGGCTTTCTGATGCTGTGCAGCTGCTGCTCCATGTGCACCGGCGATTGCATCAACAATCTTCCACGGTCAACCAGGATGGAACCAGAAGCCTTGCATGCCTGTAGTGAGCGCCAGTTGCTAGTGTTGGTCTGCACAACCCATTTTGAAAGACCAATAAGCAAGAAGAAAGCGTAGATGTGGCTGCTATGTCTGCAGTCCTGGTATGTCCCGGTACGACGCGTGTCCCGGCTCAAGCCCCGGACTTGCCACGAACACTGGACTGGTATTGGCGCCCTGTCCGGCATTCAGGTCAAGAAGCTCGTGCCTGCCTCGGCTGAGCTGTCACCGAAGCGGCAGAGATGGACTGGCCCTGCGGAAAACTGAAGCTGAGTCCAGCACCAATCCTCCTCTGAAGGGTAGCTGCGCAGCCTGGGCCTGAGCGAATGTCTAGCAGCGCTGAAGCGACTCCGGACGCAGACGCTCAGTGAGCCGGGCCACATCGGCTCTCAAGTTGTGGAGATCGTGAAGGTCTGGGTATGGCCTCAACTGCACCCTGATCGCATGGGCATATGCCAGCGACATGCAACGCAAATCTTGTCCGAACCCAGTGCATTTGTCACAGACAAGCTGGCTTCTCAGAGGCTTGGTTTACTAGGGGAGCAGCGCACCGAGTCCGCCGAGCCCCGCTCCAGGGCCAATCTGCAATAATGCAACCATCTTGCATGGACTGGGGTAAACAATCCGGGGAAGCTTCGATACTCAATTTCCTAGGCTGTTGGTGGCGGCAGCAATCAAGACTAAGCATGTTAAACATCTAAAACCCATTCAAATAGATTACGCATAAGCAAGCTCTTAGCTCAGAAAATCTTAGATGCTGGGAATCTCGCTCCCGTCCCACTCCGAGGCTCCGTTTAAGCTCCCCCTAGCCACCGCCTTCATTCGCAGCAGATTGTTTCCCACCTATGCAGTAGCATGCATCCTCGTCATCCCCGCCGTCGTCTTCGTCATCTTGAATCTTCATCCTCCTCCCCATCGTCAAATGACCTTCATCTTTCCTCCCTGCACCCTCTGTGACACCCTCTTTTCCCACCCTTCCTCCCCGCACCCAGACTCTTTACTCCTTTCCTTTCCCGCGGTTGCATCCTACGTGTTTTTCGTAAAGCGTGGGGCTCCCGCCCCTCCCTCGACCCTCCCCTTCCCGCCACTTCTACTACTGCTCATACTGCTGCTACCACTGCTGTTGGGTTACGTTTGCGATTACTATCGCGGCAATGTGACTGTTCTTGATACTCCCACTGTTGCGGCCACTACGACTGGTCGATCTCGATCTAGTATCATTGATACTATGGGAAAATCTGGGTGAAATACTAGTTTCTTACAGTTGATTTACGGCTTTAGGTTCAAGAATGAGCGTGCCTGCTTCAGCGTCTTGCCCGCTTAGTCCTGGCTGCTGCGTGTGCTTTCGATGGGCGCAGCCCATGGACTATGGCGCCATCCTGACTGTTACGAGTGCTTTTCTGCCCACCCCGTCCTGTCCTCGTCCACGTTTCATCCCACCACTTCCCTTCCCACCCACGTTGAATAATGTTGGGCTGGATTTTGAATTTTGATTCTTCCCAGATAGCCTACCCCCCCCCCCCCCCCCCCCCCCCCCCCCTCTTCTTGGCAACTTTGGGCTGGATGAGCCCCGCTCAACCCACCTCCCTCTGTTGCTTCCTCCCCTTCTGTTTTAAGCAAATTGAGCTGGATTTTTGTTCCTATCCGTGCCCGCTCCGCCCCTTTTTGGGGCAGGGGTTGCGAGAGGAGCCAACAGTGCAATTACAATTGCCCAAAACAGAAGGGGAAAAAGGAGCAGGCCGCTGAACCAAGACTCTGAACTCTAAATCCTGCAGCCCACCCAAACCTACACCCTGAACCCCTGTGCAGCTGCGAGCTGGACGAGGCGGGTACATGCAGCGATTAATCTACGATCATCTTGTGCTGCCGCCCTCCGCCCTTCAAGGCTTCGCTGTTCTGGTGCCTGTGGAAAGCCGCTGCTCCAGGGATGTCCCAGCCCTCGGTCACAACAAAGCT